TTAGGGGCTGGGGGGGGGCAACTCACAACTAAAGGACACAGTGAGCATTGTAGAGGGGAAGGGCATGCCTCTAACCCTTGCTTGGGTGAGGCAAAGACATAAAATGTAACCAAAATGTTTGTACTCTTCATAGTACCCTGAAATAAAAAATAAATAAATATGACCTTCAAAAAAAAAAGGGGGGGAAAGTACATATTCCAAAGGTTTAATTTTTAAAATGTATGTAAACAAATGAGAATTTCGTTATTGATCTTAAAGTGAAAACTTTTGATTAAGTAAGAACATGAAAAAGACAAAAAAGGAAAAATAATCCTAAAACTCACATGGCATCACAAAAGACCCCAAACAGCCAAAGCAACACTGAGCAAAAAGAATAAAGCTGGGGGCATCACATGACCTGACTTCAAAATATACTACAAAGCTATATTAACCAAGACAACATGGTACTGGCATAAAAACAGACACATAGAACAATGAAACAGAATAAAAATCCCCCAAATAAATCCACGCACATAATACAAGACAAACAACAAAAGCAAGAATGAGTAAACAGGGATTACAACAAACTAAAAATCTTCTTCACAGCCAAGGAAACAGTCAACACAGTGAAGAAACAACCTTCAGAATGGGAGAAAATAATTGCAAATCAACCATCTGCTAAGAGGTTAATATCCAAAATATATAAGAAACTCAGAAGACCCAATAGTAAAAAAAAAAAAAAAATGAATTATCCAATTTAAAAATGGGCAAAGGACCTTATAGACATTTCTCAAAAATGATTTATAAGTGGCCAACAGCTATATAAAAAACTTCAGTGATAGCTCATCCCATTTTCTCCTGGCTGTAAGGTTTCTTCTGAGAAACATGCTGTTAATCTCTTGAGGATTTCCTTATATGTGACTTTATGCTTTCTCTTGCTGTTTTTAGGATTCTCTCTTTGTCTTTGACCTTTGACAGGTTGACTAGAATGTGACTTGGAGAAGACCTTTTGGGATTGAATGTATTTGGATATTTTTGAGCTTCCTGTATCTGGATGTCTGTATTTCTCAGAACACTTGGAAATTTTTTCAGCTATTATTCATTAAATAGATTTTCAATGCCTTTAACTGTCTCTTCACCTTTTATTAATAGAACTCCCCAAATTAGAATATTTGTTCACTCTATGGTGTCCCATATATCACATAGGCTTCTTCATTCTTTTTCTTTTCTTTTTTTGTCTGACTTAGTTATTTGAAAAGACCTGTTTTCAAATTGAGAAATTCTTTCTTCTGCTTGATCTAATCTATTGTTAAGCCCTTGATTATATTTATTTCATTGCTTGAATTTTTCAGTTCCAGGATTTGTGTTTGGTTCTGTTATATTATTTTTTTTAATGATCTATCTATTTGTTGTTCATCAGGGCCAATATCCCTGATGAACCTAGACATGAAAATTTTCAAGAAAATAGTAGCAAAGTGAATTCAACAGCACATTAAATGGATCATTTACCATGATCAAGAGAGATTTATCCCAGGCATGCAAGGATGGTTTAACATACATAAATCTATAAATGTGACATACTGCCTTAACCTTATGAAGGATTAAAAATCATATGAACACTCAATAGATGCAGGAAAAACATTTGATAAAATTCAGCATCCTTTTATGAAACAAACTCTCAACAAATTAGACATAGAAGGAATGTATATCAAACAAGATAGGCCACACATGACAAACCCACAGCTAACATTATATCAATGATAAAGCTTTTCTTCTAAGATTAGGAAAAAGACAAGAATGCCCACTCTTACCACTTGTGTTCAACATAATACTGCAAATCCTAGCCAGAATGATTAGGCAAGAGAAAGAAATAAAAGACATCCAAATTGGAAAGGAAGAAGGTAAACTGACTTCTTTGCAGACAATTTGATCTTATATAGAAATCCTTATATAGAAAATCCTAAAGATCCACCAAAAATATTAGAACTTACTAACAAATTCAGTTAAACTGCAGGATACAAAATCAACATTCAAAATCAGTAGTGTTTCTATGTTAATAATGAACAATCTGAAAAAGAAATCAAGAAAAGAATCCTATTACAGTAGTTATAAAAATTAAAATACTTGGGATAAATTTAACCAAGGAGATGAAAGGCCTATATACTACACACTCTATAATATTGATTACAGAAATTGAGGAAGATACAAATAAAAGGAAAGATATCCCATGTTCATGTATTAGAATAATTAATATTGTTAAAATGTCCATACTACCATAAGTGATGTACAGATTCAATGCAATCCCTGCACCTGAATATTTATGGCAGCACAATTCACTATTGCAAGGATGTGGAAACAACCCAAGTGCCATCAATTCATGAGTGGATTATTAAAATTTGGTATATGTATACAATGGAATATTACTCAATTATAAGAACGACAGTGATCTAGCACCTCTTACATTTTCCTGGATTGATTGCTTGAGCCCATTATCCGAAGTGAGGTATCACAAGATCAGAATAGGCTCCACTTGTACTTGCCATCAAATTGGCACTAACTGATTAACACTATGGTGCTCACTGTGGTAGTAACATTCTCCAGGGATTAAGGGGTTGGGGGGCAAACTCACAACTAAAGGACACGGTGAGCATTGTAGAGGGGAAGAGCATGCCTCTAACCCTTGCTTGGGTGAGGCAAAGACATAAAATGTAACCAAATGTTTGTACTCTCATAGTACCCTGAAATAAATAAAAAATAAATATGACCTTCAAAAAAAAAAAGGGCCGGGCACGGTTGCTCACGCCTGTAATCCTAGCTCTCTGGGAGGCCGAGACGGGCGGATTGCTCGAGGTCAGGAGTTCGAAACCAGGCTGAGTAAGAGCGAGACCCCGTCTCTACTATAAATAGAAACAAATTAATTGGCCAACTAATATATATAGAAAAAAATTAGCTGGGCATGGCAGTGCATACCTGTAGTCCCAGCTACTTGGGAGGCTGAGGCAGTAGGATTGCTTGAGCCCAGGAGATTGAGGTTGCTGTGAGCTAGGCTGATGCCACGGCACTCACTCTAGCCTGGACAACAAAGTGAGACTCTGTCTCAAAAAAAAAAAAAAAAAAAAACAAAAGGGGGAAAAAGTACATATTCCAAAGGTTTAATTTTTAAAATGTATGTAAGCAAATGGGAACTTCGTTACTGATCTTAAAGTGAAGACTTTTGATTAAATAAGAACATGAAAAAGAAAAAAAAAGGAAAAATAATCCTAAAACTCACATGGCATCACAAAAGACCCCAAATAGCCAAAGCAACACTGAGCAAAAAGAATAAAGCTGGGGGCATCACATGACCTGACTTCAAAATATACTACAAAGCTATATTAACTAAGACAACATGGTACTGGCATAAAAACAGACACATAGACCAATGAAACAGAATAAAAATCCCCCAAATAAACCCACACACATAATACAACACAAAAAACAAAAGCAAGAATGAGTAAACAGGAATTACAACAAACTAAAAATCTTCTGCACAGCCAAGGAAACAGTCAACATAGTGAAGAAACAACCTTCAGAATGGGAGAAAATAATTGCAAATCAACCATCTGATAAGAGATTAATATCTAAAATATATAAGAAACTCAGAAGACCCAATAGTAAAAAAAAAAAGAATTATACAATTTAAAAATGGGCAAAGGACCTTATAGACATTTCTCAAAAATGATTTATAAGCAGCCAACAGCTGTATAAAAAACTTCACAACATCACTAATTATCAGGGAATTGCAAATCAAAACCACAAGGAGGTATCACCTCATACTTGTCAAAATGGCTATTATCAAAAGGACAGAAGAAAACAGTATTGGCGAGAATGTGAAGAAAAGGAAGCCCTTACACACTATTGGTAGGAACATAAATTAGTATAGCCATTATAGAAAACAGTATAGAGGTTCCTCAAAAACTTAAAAATAGAACTACCATATGATTCAGAAATCCCACTGTGTAGTATATATCCAAACACTGAAATCAGTACGTTGAAGAAATACCTGCAATCCCATGATCATTGCAGCATTAGTCACAAGAGCCAAGATATGGAATTAACCTAAATGTCCAACTACAGATGAATAGATAAAGATAATGTATAAATACACAATGGAATATTATTCAGCCTTCAAAAAGGAAATCCTGCCATTTGCAACAACATGATGAACCTAGAAGACAAGTTAAGTGAAATAATCCAGGTACAAGAAGACAAATACTACCTGGTCTCATTTATACATGAAATCTAACAGCTGAACTCACAAAAATACAGAGTAGAACTGCAGTTAACAGCGGTTGGGAGAGAGGATCGGGGAGATGTTGATCAAAGGGTACAACGTTTCAGTTAGATAGGAGTACGTAGTTTTTCAAAAATTTTAAAGATATTTATAGAAAAAAAATAAAATTTTTGAGAACCACTTTCCAGGCCTCTGCTACTTTAAGGAAGACTGAGCACAGAGTATAAAATGAGAAAATTCAAAGCTATGTAACACTTCATTATTAGGTAGGAGTTAAACCCCTAAGATGAGACTAAGGTAGCTAGGCTGAACCACAGAGATTCTCTTTTCCTAATTTCAGTTCCTAAGATAACCTATAACTAAGGTATTCCTGCTTCGTTTCTAACCCAAAGTCCCAAATCCAATCCTAGATCAGATCATAACACTCCAACAAGTGGAAAAGCCACCAACATCAGCAACAGAGGAACTGTAGCAAAAGATGGCTTATTCTTGCATCTCAGGATAATGTGAACGCCTTTCACTGGATCCAAACACAGAAAATTTGGCTTTAAAATGCCCCTATAACCTGACCAACTGGGAATCTGAATGTCAGGAGACACTGAATAAGAAATATATTTAAAAAACAGAATTACCAGAATGGATAAAAACTACATGTGAAATAGTAACCCCATCCTTTTTTCAGATCCTAAGGGATCACCCAACAAGGAGAGAGAGATTGAGAGAGAGATCGATCCAGCAGTCTCACTGATTTTCATGTAGTTTAAAATAGTCAACACTTTATTCTTTATTTTGTCGTCACATTAGTAAGCATTTCACTCTTGCTAAAAGGAAGTCTTGGGCCTGGGAGGAGCATGGAAGAACTGCAGACCAGATATCCAAGTCTGAGCCTGTAGCGCCAGTGTCTTCTCAGGCCTGGTTAAGTAGGGGGTTCCACCTTGGGAGAGAACAGAGAACCAGAGTTAAAGGAAAGCGCAAATTGTGCAGCGGACAAATGTCCCCATTATGCCAAGGAGAAGCTGCTGTGCATTACATGAAATGAATGGTGCTCAGTCTCAGCCAGGCGGTCTGCTGAGCTTCCCCCTGTACTGTCCAGAGGCCCTTCTGTGGGAAGGGCCAATTAGAAGCTCCGGTCGCCCTGAGTTCTAGGGGCCGGGCCCGGGCAGTTCTCAACTCGCCCTGAGGCAAATGGTTCTGCAGGAAGGTTTCAGGGCCCTGGCCGGAACGGCAGACCTGGGGCTGCTCACCTCAGTCCAAAGACCACCACGGTTCCATACACTGATATCGGCAGTTGTAGTAGCAGCACTTCTTGCTCTCCTGGCAACTTCTGTCACGCCGGCACTTAGGAAACATGGTGAAAGGGCAGGAAAGAGTAAACTCCGGGCAGTATCCTGGTTTAGGTACAGCTGGAGAAAAATGCCACAGGGTGTTAGTCGGGGGCGCCTATGCGACACTTCCAGGCATCAGGGACAGCTCGTGCCAGGGACCCCTCAGAGGAAACGTTCCCCAACCTCAGCCACACCCAGTATCCCCGCGTCCTGCCCGTACCTTTTCCGACTCCAGGCTGGGCCATGTGGAGGCAAAGGAGGACGGTCACAGCGAGCAGGGAGAGGCTGCTCAGCTTCATAATGCAGGAAAAGCGTGTGGGTGCACGTGGAGGTGGGACCTGTTTCTATCAGTCCTGGGTCCCACCAGCAGGGGCAGCCGTAGTTCCCCGGGCGCGAAGTCGGAAGTGCCTCAACTTGACCCGGAAGCACTAGCTGTTTCCTTCCGCCTCCCAGGAAGAGGAAATGTGAAACTGCCCTGGGGTGTAACTTCCTAGAGCCCTAGGAGACTGTGCTGGTTTCCGAGCGCTGAAGGGCTGGCCTGACCCTTGGTTCTTTCTTTATACAGCGGTTTTGAGGCGATAGGAGGGAGTTTTCTTTCCCGGGCCATGCATGAAGTCTGACCAAGTCCACTCTCCCGCTGTGAACCCAGGACAATTGAACCCGCTCCCCCCCCCCAACAGTGTTCAGCTATGGATGCATTTGAGGTGTTTACTTTTAAAACATTAACACTTGAGACACAGACACAAGGACAAAGCCTGATAACGTGGTATTAGCAAGGTAATCTCTAGATTGATGAAAAATGTCAATTCATTGTGCGCCATGCGACTGCAGTTTAAATTGTATAATGAACGTTTTCTTCCTTAACTCCTGCTTTTATGTCTCCATGATTGTGCAAGAACTTCATTAGTTGATAATGTCAAAAGACTAACTTGAGGTCATTTTGGAATGCGAACCCCAGCCAAATAAACCTTGATGCTCTCTCTGTACTCCTTTAAAAGTGGATGTTGTCCCTGCCTGTTTGGTAGCTAAGAATATATCTGACTTCAGCAATGGTAAGAAATGGATTTATGAATGCACACAGCAGTGTCGGGACCTGATAGGAGAGGCAGAGAGATGCCAAGGAAAAAATGCTCTAGAGCAGCTGCTCTGTTTATCAACACACCTTCTAGCACAACCTTCTGGCTACTTCAGGCATTGCATGTTTTTACTGTGCAACTAGACTCTTCCTGTTCTGGCTGGGCCTGTCCTCACTGAGTTCCAGGGCAAATTTAAGAAACAAAATCCTTTCCAGTTGGTTTAACATGCTAGTAACCTAGTGTCTGAAGGTTTTTATTTATTATCAAGTTTTTTTGTTTGCAGCCCCCCACACTGGCACAGTTTGCAAAGCAGTTTGATATTAACTGCAAGTTTATGATACCAAAACATGACAAGGATATTAAATGAAAGTAAAACAGTGTGTGATCTTGCTATAAACATGAAGGCAAAAATCCTAAACAAAATTTTACCCAGTGATTATTATCATATACAAAAATGGTGATCCATCATGCACAAGTAGGATTTTATGTTGACAATTTATGGCTGGCTTAATATTTTTAAGTAAGTCAGTGGACTACTTCTCATTAGTAGAGTACAGGAAAAATCATATGATCATCCCTGTATTGGCTATAGACTATGTGGAAAAATCACTTAGCTATTTACGATAAAAAAGAAAATAACAGTACATGATTAGAAGCACACTTTATTTAATTTGATAGGAAGCCTATATAAAAACCCTACAACCGAGTGAAGCACTTTCACATGGTGGAATAAAATCTGCTCCTCCATAAAAGCTGTAAGAATACAGGTTGCATGTCCATTATTTAAAATCTTTGGGACCAGAAGTGTTTCAGATTTCAGATTTATCCACATTTTGTAAACTTTGCATATAAATAACGTGATATCTCAGTGATGGGAAACAAGTTTATTTTTGTAGAGCTGGGATCTTGTTATGTTGCCCAGGCTGGTCTCAAACTCCTGATCTCAAGCGATCCTCCTGCCTCGGCTTCCCAAAGTGCTGGGATTCTAAGCGTGAGACACTGAGCCCAATGGGAAACAAGTTTAAACATTACATTTACTTATGTTTTGTATACCCACTATATACATAGACTGAATGTAATTTTATACAGTATTGTTAATAGTTCTGTGAATGAAATAAAGTTTGTGTACATTGAACTATCAGAAAGAAAGGTGTCACTATCTCTGCCATCCATGTGAACTATCTGTGATTGTTTGGCATTACCATCATTCCTGATTAGAATTTATGTGCTACCTGTAAGCAATGATTCTTCTTACACTTATTCACACATAAGTACTTAACACTAAAAAATATAACGTATCATTAATACAGTGAAAATAATATGTTCAGGGTAAAATAAGTGGCCCAGTAGCATCACCAGAATAGCTAGACAATAGCAGTTTTGGTTAAAAGCTTACTTTCTCACCAAAATGTCAATAGGATTTTTTAAAGAAATTGATAAGCTATTACTTAAATGTATATGAGAATTCACAGCATCTAGAACAGTCAAAATAATTTTTATTTATTTTTTTTGAAACAGAATGTCTTGCTCTGTTGCCCAGGCTAGAGTGCCGTGGCATCAGCCTTGCTCACAGCAACCTCAAACTCCTGGGATCAAGCAATCCTTCTGCCTCAGCCTCCAAGTGGCTGGGACTACAGGCATGCGCTACTATGCCTGGCTAATATTTTCTATATATTTTTAGTTGTCCAGATAATTTCTTTCTATTTTTAGTAGAGATGGGGTCTCGCTCTTGCTCAGGCTAGTCTTGAACTCCTGAGCTCAAAGGATCTGCCTGCCTCGGCCTCCCAGAGTGCTAGGATTATAGGCATGAGCCACCGCGCCCGGCCAACATAATTTTTTAAGAAGAACAAAGTTGAGGACTAAGGCTTCTTGATTTGAAATCTTATTTTAAGGTTATGATAATCAAGACAGTGTGGCATAACTGTAGAATAACAAATATCTTGACGGCACAGAATAGAGTCCAGAACTAGACTCACACATAAAATGGTCAGTAGATCTTTTTACTGAGATGTCAATGGACTTCGATGAGCAAAAGACAGTCTCTTCAACAAAGAGCACTCAAACAACTGCATACATGTGTGGTGTATGAGTTTCCTCTTACTGCTGTAACTTGTTATTTACAAACATAGTGGCTAAAACAACAAATATTTATTCTTTTATAGTTCTGGGGCTGAGAATTCCAAACTGAGTCTTAACAGGGCTGAAACAAGGTGTTGGCAGGCAGGCATGCATTCCTGGTGGAAATTTCAGGAAATAATTGGTTTCCTTCTTTTTCAGTTTGTAGAGGTCACCTCCATTCCTTGGCTTGTGACCTTTCCTGGCACTACTCCAACTTCGTGCTTCTCTCCTCACATCTCCTGCTACACATTCTGGTCTTCTCGCTTTCCCTTATAAGGAATCTATGATTATAACCAACCCACCTGGGTAGTTCAAGATAATCTCCCACACCCCAAAATTCTGCATCATATATACAAGGTCTCTCTTGCCATATAAGGTAACAGGTCCCAGGCATTAGGATTCAGACATCTTTGGAGGGCCATTATTCAGCCTATCACATCCAGGAAAACATGAACCTCCATCTGTACCTTGAATGCAGTGCAAATATTCATAGACTTTGATCATAAACCTTAGTATAGATGCTGAACCTATGCAGCTTCTAGAGAACAACATCAGAGAGAGAATGTTTTTGCAACCTAGACAAAGCAAAAGTTCTTAGGGCACAAGAGCATTCAGTATAAAAAGAAAATGGATGTATTTGATTTCATTATACTTTAAGACTTCTGCTCTTCTGAACACACCATTAAGAAAATGAAAATAACAACAAAAAACAAGCCATAGACTGCGGGGAAAATCCACTCCCAAGTATTTAACCACAGTGAATTGAAAACATATTTTACTGTGACTTGTACAAGAATTTAGGTAAGAGCCTAATTTATAGTCACCTAAACTGGACAGAACCAAATGGCCATCAGTAGGTGAATGGAAGAACAAATTTGGTAGACTCAAACAATGAAACACTATTCAACAAGAAAAAGAATGAACTGTTACTATATACATAAATAAGAGTCAATCTGAAAAACTTTGGGTTGAATAACAGTAGCTGGACACCAAAAGTAACTATATTATATGATTCCATTATATGAAGTTCAAAAACAGGCAAGCTCTTCATGAGCTGGGATATCCATGTTCTTTTTCCCTTAGACTTCAGAGCTCCTGCTTCTTGGGCCTTTAGACTTTAGGAGTTAAAGCAATGGCTCACTTCATTCTCAGGTTTGGACTTGGGCTGAATTATGCCACCAGCTTTCTTGGTTCTCCAGCTTGAAGACAGCATAATGTGACACTTCGAGGCCTCCATCATCATGGTGAACGTTAACAGTGTGCTGTATAAGAAAACTTTGCCTGCACCAAGAAGTCAAGGAGGATGCTGTATTCAGGGGTCACATAGTCATGATCCTGGCTGCTTGTGGCCATTATGTTCAGGCTTTTGACCCTCTGAAGGATATAAATGCAGAAACTGAGACACCAAGAGATTCAGTCACTTGTGGAAAGTCATCTCTGGCAAATGATGGAAGCAATAACACTAAAGGCAATGATACAGAAGAGGGAGGAAGAAGAAAAAACTCTGAGCAATCAGAACTTCATCAGATATCCATGTACTAGAATATGATAGCATTAGCGTAATGAGCATACTAGTATAATATGTATACTCTCTGTTTTGTGATGGGTGGGATTAATCATCTTACATTTACTATGATTAATTATTGACATATTTAGATTCATCTCTGAAGTTTTATTTTGAGATGTCACCTACCATGCCTTTTATTTGTGTCTTCCCCCAACCCCCATATCACATGTTTGGTTGGAATAATATATTTTAAATACTTTGCTTTTATCCTCTGCTGGTTCAGAAGCTTAATATTTTATTTCTCTTCTTAGTTTCAATCTAGCTAAATATACAATTTTCTTCTTCTATACTTTTCATCGCCCAATTTCTCAGAACTTTGCCCTGTGTAAATGCAGTACCATTTTTTAATACATGAGTTCCCTCTTGAACTGGGTACTATAAGAGGTTTATTCCTTAATTACAGGGGATATAATTTTCATTTGCATGATTTCCCATTGGTTAATTAAAAATAATATCTATTTTTTTGTTATTCTTGTTATGCACACTGATTCATTGAAGATCCTAAAGTAATCTCCAACAAAAGGGAGCTCAAGCCACTTTATTTATTTATTTAGTTTCTTTTTTTCTTTTTTTTGAAACAGAGTCTCACTTTGTTGCCCAGGCTAGAGTGAGTGCCCTGGCGGCAGCCTAGCTCACAGCAA